GCGGTATCAACAGTATAAATGGCAACAAACCAGGGGATTTGAAGAAGAGAGTCTAATTAGTTGCCTTCCAAGAGATCTCAGGCGAGACATAAAGCATCATCTTTGCTTTAGATTGCTCATGAGAGTAAGAACTTTCCTAAAAGCATCACATCTCTGTAAGTTCATACCCAGCATAAGATCAACGCTAATATTCTTTCTTCAGATACCCATGTTTGGGAAAATGGATAAGCAGCTGTTAGATGCAATGTGTGATCGTCTCAAACCTGTATTTTACACTGAAAGCAGCTGCATTGAAAGGAAGGGGGATCCGGTGGAGGAGATGCTGTTTATCATACGAGGAAATTTGGTCAGCATCACCACCAACGGCGGAATAACTGGCTTCTTCAATGCTGTTAATCTTAACCCCGGTGACTTTTGTGGAGAAGCACTTCTTACTTGGGCCTTGGATCCTCAGTCCTCCTCTCATCTACCCATCTCCACCAGAACCGTACAGGCTTTTTCCAAAGTCGAGGCCTTTTCTCTGTTAGCTGACGACCTCAAGTTCGTCGCCTCCCAGCACCGGCGTCTACATAGCAAACAGTTCCAGCACATTTTCAGATTCTACTCCGTGCAGTGGAAGACATGGGCGGCCAGCTTCATACAGGCAGGCTGGCGGCGGTACTGCAGGAGGAAGTTGTTAAGGGAAGAGGAAGCTAGGCTGCAGAATGCTCTGGCTGATGACTCCGGCCTGAGCGTTGGCGCCTCGATTTACGTGTCGAAATTTGCAGCCAATGCGTTGCGAAACTTGCGACAGGATGAGACTCCGACCCCCAGAATACCGGAGCGAATGCCGCTGCTGCCTCAGAAGCCGGCGGAGCCTGATTTCGGAGCCTGATTTTACTGCTGATCAAGACCACTAAATGTTAATTCTCTGTTTTTTCAATTTTCTGTTTCATATGTGCTTGGATAAATTTGGAAGAATCTGTATCTTGTTCTGCTTAGTTTAATGGCTTAATGTAAACATGTTTGTTCATCTCAAGAATTTCCAGAAGGAAAAGAAAAAAAGAAGTTATTTTTAGAGTCTAACTTTTCTCAGCCCCCTGCTGTTTTCTTTTTCTGGATTTTCTTAGCAACCAGACAGTATATAAGGAAAATTGATCACAATCTTTTCCAAACCACTAACACTGTTAATATGCAGCGTTTTAATCCATTTAACCAGTAATGTTCATTCCATGAACGATACTATGTGATTCATTACATAGAAATATCTGCATCTAATACAATTCTGGAACAGAAATTTATTCAGTAATGTATTTATTTAGAAACTTTAGCAGATTTGATCTTCGATTCGCTAGCAGCATGAAGACTTGCTTGATAATGTAATATAAGCACCGGCCTGATCAAATACGAACCAAAGTGCATCAAAATCAAGTAAGAAGATTACAAAAACTCACCAACAAAAAAATGTACAAAAATCTTGAGATTGAGAGATAAAGAGGATCAAATCATAAAATGATTGGCCAAAAGAATAAGAGCATTACCTGATTTCAATTATAGTTGATTTGGTTTCAGTGTAAATAATTTTACGTTTATCTGCAATTAAATTTTTTTTTACATTGGGTTTCTGAATAATAACATTTACCTAAGAAGTGGGCCAATCAGCATCCATATGACATCTAAAATATACAGAACGTACCTTATGAATATATTCTATTAATTCCAATTATTCAAATTCAGCATCTTCCCCATGTATTACACATGCTGATGGATTCTGTCCCCGGACCATTATGCTCTCAGTCATCAGACGAAGAGAAAGACATAGAATAAGGTGAGGCTTGTAACCTTCCTCAAAAGTCAAAACTGTTAGGATAGGGCGAAGTTAGATCAATGAGAAGCATTTCTCATCCCCTCAATAGGTTATTTAATGATAAGATAATGATTAGTATATTTTTTTGTTTAATATATTTATTAATATTTATTAGTTTAGTTATTAAATTTTTTTAAATAAAATTTATCTCATTTAAAATTTAAATTTAAAAATAATAATTT